CGCCTCGCCGGAAAGCCGGCCCTCGCCTGTCTGCTGCAGCCGTCGGCTCTGCCACGGCTCGGCCCACAAACTGCGTGCGCTGGGCTACCTGCCACAGCTGGGGAACGGCGCAGGCCGAGCACCCGTGGGGAGCACTGGCAGGATTCGAGGAGTAAGGTCAGTTAGCCTCACTGAACAGGCTCACCTCTAGAAGCTGACAGGGCAAGGTACAGTTCTTCCTTAAAAAAGCGGTTTTGCAAACACTTTCCACTATTTTAGCTCCCCCTCCCCCCCTTTTTTTTAAACCCACATTTTTAGTGCGTTAATTTACGCTGCAGCATTAAACCTGTACAAAAACCTTTAAGGACACTTACTTGAATTACTCCTCCGTTAAGTCAATTGAAATACTGCAATTTGGCCTAAACCAACAGGGAGCTCGACAGAAGAATTAGACTGTTTTAACTGAAGCAGCACGATGAGCCCGCGAGCACTAGACTGCCCTAACAAAGGCAGGTGCCGTACCTACCCCGCCATTCTGTACCTGTGAGAACAAAAGCAGTAACAAAAACTCCCAGCTTTTCCCCATCCAAAGCAATGTGACTGTCAGAGCTCATCTGGCCATGAAAATGTAACTTAGCCTTCATTGGAAAAACATATAGAAAAGCTTAATCATAGGAAGACTGTAGTGACTGAATTTCCAATCTGTGGTTAAAACAAAGCAGATCTGTTTTTTAAAAAATCGAGCCTACATTAAGTTCTTCACTGCTAATAGTTTCTAAAAACTGGACCCTGTTCGGCTGATGAATGCTAACAGTATAACACACTGCAATAAGACAACCTTTCTCCTCTACTGTCCTCTCCAAATGTTAAGTGTAACTAGAACCATGAAACAATCTCCGCTTAAATTTCCGTGCGTAACCAAAGTATGCAAGTTTTCTGCTGCCACATTTTATAGGCATGATAATATATACTTCAATCAGTTATTCTTGGAAATAAGGACAATGTCATCTAATGAGTTTCATTTTTCACCACATCTGAGGAAAATTCTGTTGCATAATTACACGCTTTCACCTGTAGTAAAAAAAACCCAACAGACTTTCCATCTATGCGGAGAAATACAATTTATTATTTAAATAATCTCTGATCTGGGTCTTCTTGTACAAAAATAAATTCTTCAAGAGGGGTTTGATGATTTGCTGGCCAACAGCTTCTCTCACATGTGTAAACTATAACAGTTCCAAATTCCACTGACAGATCTAAAAACAAAGCAATAAAGGTATGTAATGTAAAGGTATGAAAAATGACATAATCGGGGCTATTGCTTATTGTTATACTTCAATCTTTGCCAAGTCAGAGAATATTTTTCATATTTGATCTCCTACATACATAGCATTTTCTAATTTTAAAGATTCTAAAGCAAGCTGACTCAATTTTCAAATTGCTTTTTAAGTGTCTGCAATCTTACTGACAGTATTTATTATTTTCCGAAGCCTCATTAAGAGGCAATAAAGATAAATTACTCCCAAGGTCATGGAATTATCTATGTTGCTGTTATTATGAGCAAATGAAGTTGCAATCATAGAGTCTCCATAAACCAGAGTTTTACCTTTTGTTTAGTGAAAACTATAATGGAAACAGAGTGGATTCTAAATAAAGACGATCACTGTAGTTAGGCACATCAGTGCATGTGGTTAGCAAGAAACCACCCAAATTGCAGTTCACTACACTTTACCACGAAGGTGACTGTTTCTAATATTCATTCAGCTAAGTCAAAGGTCAACACCTGAATCACTCTGGAGCATGCTGACCAGCGCTGGCATGAGCTGAAATTCAAATATTCTGTTGCTTCCACAGTTACTGCAGGCTGGAATACCTTTGTCAATGTTGGCTGGAGGACACGTTATGAATAAAGGCTGGCCACCCCAAGAGTATCTAAGAGAAGACAGGAAAAAAGTATTCATTTTTTGTATCTAAATTTCATAGGAAAACATACATGTTGGCAACAGTGTTTAGGATTCTTTGAAACCTCTGAACTTGCTTGAAGTAAAAAACATTGTTATGAGCCAGAATCATTACCGAAGTTTCACGTGAGTCATTAAACAAAGAATAAAGATGTGATGGGGAAATACTTGGAAGGTCAACGCTTGGGAAGTCTTAAGGAAAGAGCTGGATCTAAAGGAGACAAATGCTTTGAATTGACACCTCCAAAATAAGCTGTACCTGACTCATTTAATTAAGTGAACTACACTTTCCTGAAAAATGGAATCCTAACCAGTGGCAGTTAAAGATTCTCAACATAGAATAGGTCTCAAAATCACTGTAGTTATGCCACAGAACTGGTGCTTTATTTGTAAAAGCTACCGCAGCTCCACAACTAACAGGAAACAAGATCAAAGACAGTTTCCACTGAATGCCAAGCAGGGGATTCTGTGCTGTGCTGAAAGCCCAACAGAGATCTGGCAGCCCAGGAGAACTGGGGGTCTGACAGGCATACTCACAATACCCATGAAGGGGAAAGGGAGGCCTATATAAAGATTGTAACTGGTGATAGTCATAGGGATCACCAGAGGTGATGTTGTAGAAGAACTGAAGAGCATAATACTGCAGTGCAACAGATCCAGTGAAAAAAAGTTGTCTGAAAATGTTACTTGCACTCTACACTAGTATATTTTCTGTACAATCTTTGATAGATAATTAATGAAAGTTTCTTACATTTCTTATCTGTGTAACCAGCCCCTCAAACTTCACCTCCTCATCAAAAAGGTACCAGTTATTTCCACCTGGTTCTGGAAACTTGATAAACAAGGGTCCTGTCACTACACTGAGACAGCTTGACCAGACAGGCTGCATTGGACTCTCTGGAACAAAGTTAAAAACTAACACTTGGTATGAACCCTGAAATTCATGTGTACTATCTGATACTGTGAATAATTTATCATTTCAACTCTTTGTTATGCTTTCATTCAGAATTAACTCCTCTTTCAGGAAAGTAGCTGCTCTGAGGTTCATTCTGTTTTTGTTCTAGGAAAAGCAACAGATTTACAAGAACCGAAGACTGCAGGGTCCCGAGGGGTAATCACAATAAGCTGCAGAACTCAGGCTTTAGAACGAGTGATTTCTTACTTCAGTGACATCTCAAGGAGTGAGATATAAGCAATTAAAGTAAGGTTACAAAATTTCAGAGGAGCAGATAGCCTTGGAAATCTATCACAACAGCACACCACTGTGTATTATACCTCCACCTCAAAACTGCCTCTTTAAAACCTCTATGTCTGGATTTCAGCGAGTCTTCAAAGACAGTCTGGGACTGTTCTCATCAGGTCTTATGTTGAACAAAGTCTCCCATAGCCAGATCTGGGGTCTCTGATCCTGCTTTGCTTCTCATCAACTTACACTTTATATAAAAAAGCACAACCAGGGACTGAAGTATAACCACACAGGCATGGTAACAGCCCTCTTAGCAATTTTTTTTATTAAGAAACAAAAATATACATCTATTTCCAATAAAATGGTTTATTTTGATGTACTAACAATCCATGTCTCTGCTCTGGATCTCCCTGTTACAACCAGATGATCAACATACCTTAGAATCTGTTCATGACACACTGATATTCTTTTCATAAATTTATGGAATGTGTGGTCCCTGCTTTTGACTTCACTCTTCTCATATTTTTCATTACCACCTTCTCCTGCAAAACTGTAAGAAAACAAGAAAAGAAACAAGATTTCCAATAAGGTTTTCAGTACGATATGCTTGCTTTAAATAAGCAATGGTTACTACACGTTCACATTAAATTATACTAAGTATACAAAAAAGCCCTATACATGTTAAATTAAGAGGCAATTCCTGTTAGATGTTGCAAGTGAACATTTTGCTCCTAGTTCTTTGGTTTCTGGTGGTTTACAATTACTAACAGTGTTTCAAACTACCACAAGAGATTCAAATCCACCAGATACCTGCTTATTCCTTAAAAAAAGTCATTCCTTTAGTAAATTCTCAGAAGTTTTGCTTGTTTTTAAATTACGATGTTGTCTTTTAAAATTTTGAATTAAATGTAATTAAAGTTCTACGATTCTATAAAGATCGACAAAACCCAACAGGAACACCACTACGCTAAAAAGCGTTCTATGCAGATTCTGCAACTGACAGTAGCTTTAGTTATCAAAAAATTCAATGTCGCCCACAATCCAGGAAAAGTCACTGTACATGTTAATATAATCAAAAGAGAAATGGTCTGGATATAAGTGCTCACTTAAATTAATACTGAAAATATTTTCCGTAACTACGTTCAAAAATCGTTTTTCAGACAACCTACTACAAAACCTTATGGAGTCTTACCATCATCCCAGCCTCTAGTCAAAATCCCTATGTAATTAAACTCTTAAAAATGCAACTGGAATATAAGAAAAGCTTTAGCCTTGTAAAGAGAAAAAAAAAACAACAAAAAAAGAGACAAATGTTACGATATAAACTCATACCATTTAGCATAAAATGTTGTTTAAACCACACTGGCTTGGTTTCAGAGATTGACAGTCCACTGCTCTATCTGGAGCCCAAGGACATTCCAACTGCTCAGTCACTCAGAAATAGATGCATCTCTGAATAACTCAAAATTTGACAGAACTGGGTGCATTGTTATGTTCTTCCACCAAAGTACTACACATCAATGATTCCTGAAGGACCCAGTTACGAACAAAAACCAGTCAGATTTATATCATCAATCAGCATACAGGAAACTGCATAATCCTTTCAGTTTCAGCATGAAATCCAGACCGGTTCTCACCTTTCTGACATCAACTGTTCCAAATCGACACCCTCCCTCTGCTGATACTCCTTCAATAGCTTATCTGCATGATCTGTATCAAGGAAACCAGTGTAGTCTTCCTCATCCACAACACTAATGTAAAAGGGCTGGAACACAGGAGCTGAACTAGATGTTGCCATTACTATTCCCCCACTGACTGGAGGATGTGTATTCAGGGAATCTGACCCATCAGTAGCTTCAGACAAGCAAAGCTGTTGGAACTGGGATGCACACTCCACCTCTCTGGACAAGGAGCTGCTCACAGCTTCATTTAAGCCAAGCAGCCGAAGGGAGGCACATGCAGGAGATTCTGCTCCATCACAGACTCCCCAGTCATCTGCTCCATCACACCAATCCTTTGCAGCAAAGTTCGATCCTTGTTTCTGAGGAAAAAAAAAAAAACCAACACCACAAAAAAAGGAAAAAGAACATTGTTAATATCAGCCACTCTAATGCACTTCAAATACAGCTTCATAACCGATACGAAAACTAAAACCTTAGCCTAATGCTTAGTTTTATTTCACCTATTCTCCTCACAGTGGTACTTACCAGCATACCCACATTTACTTTTCACAGCACCACACTTATGGCAAAACGCATCTCACACTGGAGAAACAGAACAAGAATTCACTGCCTTTTTGAATGGCCTTTGTACATACTGTTGCCATACCTCGGCTGCTGGCATGACCACTGACAGCTAGTTTGGGTACGTTTATCTGAAGCAGAGTTACTGCACCACAGGTAAGCTCAAAGGGCAGAATATGGAGGAAAATAATAACAACAATGAAAATACCATCTTTTTATCAGAGTACAAGCTCATTTACCAAAATATCAGACTGCAAATGCATCGGCTGAATAAACTTTCTCCCTGTCATCACTAGTTTGATAGCCATCCTTCTCTTTCAATCTTCTCAAGCCAACATGCAGTTTTCCTCCATCGGCAAAAATACCCAAAGCACATTAATGATAATGGAGTCAGATTAATTAAAACTGATGGTTACATTTTTAAAAATCTATTTAAATTAGAAAATAAAGAAAACATCTTAAAGATCCAAACCTAAACAGTATAGCCCAATCATTTAAAGTTGAAAAATAACATTTAGGTAGCTCAAGTAATTAAATATCAGTTTTGACCATACGGGTTGGACTGCAATCTCCACTTTAAAACAAGCCTAACACAGATCACAGACAAGAAGTTAATCTTCCAGTAAATAACGCATAGTACTCACGGTGTCAAAAATTCCACGACCACGACTTCTCCACGTGACCACATCCGTGACTCGAAACTAGCATAGAGCGCAGCTTCTTCAGAAAGGTTATGGTTACTTAAACAAGTGTATGCAAGGTGCGAAACTCGCCCAGCTCAGCTGCATTTTTATTTTAAAACCTCCTCGATACTGCGCTTCACACGGCACGCGGAAACAAAGGACAGAACCCAAGAAGGCAGTTTGCTAGCGATACCTGGTTTAGGCTGTCATCGCCCGTCTCCTTTCCTTCTGCTTGCAGATACTGGGAGCGCAGCACCTTCCAGCTTGAACGTGCCGCGTCAAGGAAAAAACCACAACACCAGACACGTAAGAACACAACGTTTGAGCCGAAGGGGCAGTTGTCAGCCGCCGTCGAGCTGTGCCCGTTCAGCAGCAAAAGGCGAAGCCGCGTCCTCACCTGCGGGGCGCTCCCCAGCACCCCTTCTCGGCACAGGCGAAGACGTTGGCGACGCGGTGGAAGGGGGACCCCTCCAGCGGGCAGTACACCTGCACCAGGTGCGCCAGCGCCCTCCCGCACACCCCGCAGCAGGGAGAGCCCGGCCGCACGCCGGGCACCCAGTCCTGAAAGACGAACAGCGCGGGCACGGCTGGAGACGCTCCGCGGCCGCCCGCCGGCCCCCTCAGGGCGCGGCCCCTCCGCCGCCATCCTCCTCCTCCCCGCCCCGGCCCGGCCCTACCGCGGAGCCACCCAGCTTGCTGGTG